TATATTAGTATTGTCCACTTAATCACAACAAAAACCCAAAACCAAACAGTAACTCCTTTGAGTTCACCTTCTCCAGCCAACATTTCATTTTCCTGTTTCCTTCATTTCTAGTTGACTATATTCAAAATATTTATTTCCACATCTTTCATTTTTTAACCTGTAAAACAGTCAATAAAACTTGTCTTTTCTATTCCACTGAGAATAAACTAACAATAACTTCCATGCTATCAAATCCAATATTCACTTCTCCATCTTCCATGACATTATAGATAAATTCAGTGAAGTTTAGATAAATTCAATACAGTTTTTTGTTTCCTTGGTCTCTGTGATACTACATGTACTTTATTTCCTCCTACTCACTGTCTACTTCTTCTTAGTCTCCATGTTAGCACCTTCTCCTCTCCGTCTTATGTAGGTGACTCCATAATAGAAAGCTCTACTTAGATGTTTAATAAGCAACTCAAAGGAGCCATGTCCAAACAGATCACTAGAGTTCCTCCTAAAGGTTTCTCTATTTCTGAAAATGGCACTAATGTCCATTTCGTGCTCAAATCAAATCCCAGGAATCATTCTTTATTTCTACTCTTTTCTTCTTATATCCAATGCATCAAAAGTCGTGCTGAATTTACCACTAAAATAATTTCCTTGCTAGACACGTTTCTCCGCATCTGCACTGAAATCCACCTCATATAAGCCATTATTATCTCTCACCCAAACTACGCAAACGTCCTGCTTTGAGCCTTATGCCGACACAAGCAATTCTTCTTACAGAAGTCTCAGTGCACTTCCAAAAATAAGACCATAATACCATATGCTTTAAAGCCTTCCAACAGCTTCCCATTCTTAAAATAATACCTAAACCCTGTACCATGCCCTGCAAGATCCCACAGGATTTAGACAATTTCCACTTCTTAGATTTCATTTTCTATTTTAGTAACTCACTACCTTTGCCCACACCAGCCTCCTTCTTTGCGTGTGCCAACTCCTTGTCTTCAGTGATCCTTTCTTATGAAACCCTCCCCCTCTTCATGTTTTCCTGGCTAGTTTCCTGTCATCACTTGGAGCTAACCTTGAACATTTCCTCCTCAGAGAGGACTTTCCTTACTACACATTCTAATGTTGGTCCCGTGCCTCTGAAAGGGACATATGAACCTATGCCTCTTATTATCATAACCTATTTAATAGATCTCAAAACACTCATTACTTTAAGTAATTTTTGTTTTATTGTTTTAAAATAATAATCATAGGTGATATATCGTCTGATCCCTCTACTAGGTCATAAACTTCATGAGTTTAAGGATGCTGTCGCTTTGTTCCCTGTTGTGTGCCAGAGGCTAGCAGAGTACCTCATATACTACAGGTACAATAAGCATTTTTTTGAAAGAACAGTATATCATTACATACTAACCACTATGGATTGAGAATGAATTGACAACATAATATGAACTTTTTTATAATTTACACTTTAAAGCGTTAAGCAACATTACATTTTCCTATTGGGGAACTTAGTAAATGGAAAGAATGGTACCACAAGTCCAAACATACCTAAGTTTAAACTGAGGACCAGCTTGGCTTTTTTCAGTTCCAGAGTAATGTAATCCCCTTGCTGTCCTTCTCCATGTAGAATTACCCCTTCACTTTCAGAGGTTTTAAATTTCAGGGCAATGACATCCTTCAGTGTTTTCATCTTCTTGTTTCTGAATCTATATGGTAACACAACGTGGCCATCAAAGTTGATAACATCAGCCCCTGAAAGAATAAAAAGAAATAACATTTTAGTTCAGTCACTGCATGTTACAATCCACCTCCAATGGGTGTCTGCACAGAATAACTGAGAATTAAAGAACTGTTTTCCCAAGAAATCTAGAATCCCACGTTCTTATTTTATTTTTTATTTTGGTTTACAGTGTTTTTAAAAGGGGATTTTATGGGCAGTGTTGATAAACAATGATCATAAAAGCCCCATCAATATAAAATTTTACTTTGTAATATTATTACAGTAATATACACTCAATCAATGTGT